AAATTAGAAACTGAGAAAAGCAGGGTTGGGGACTTGAGTCATGGGACTTGCTGTCAAGTCAGACTTAAGTCACACCGATGACGACTCAGACTTGCCTTTTCTCTCTCTCCCCAGTGAGTCAGACTCCACTCCCAACTTGGAACCCACCCACTCCTCCCTTTTTTCTGGGCAAGAAACCAGCTTATTTTTAATAGAGACAGCTTGGAACTCAGGACTTGGTACCAAAGACTTGGGCAAACTAAAATTATGTCCATAACGTTCCCTAGCTGCCATTTTGAGACTGACTTCATCATCTTGCAATGTAGGTCCCTACTGAACCTGGTCATATGTACAGATTCATCATATCCTCACCAACACTATTGTTTCTCTGACATTATGTGCTTAAAATGGAATAAATGTATTATTTTGACAGTAGAACTATATTTGCTTACAGGAAGATTCTGTTCTAACTCTTTCCATAGCTACATTAGAAGGTGAAGTTTAGGTTTATATCTTACTTTGTTTGTAGGGCATGAAGGGATGCATGTAGGGCATGAAGGGAGTAATTCTCTGTCCCTTCATGCCCTACAGCATACTGTATGTCCTCAAAACCCACTCTAGGCCATTACCAACTCTCTGGAGCAGGGTTTTGGGTGGCAGGCGGCTACATATAAAGGGGAGGAGAACATCCTGACACATTAGGACAACATTGGTTTTAAGCTCCAGGTTTCCCCAAGGTTGGTCTTTCAGTGCTGTGAAGCTTTCTTTGCTATTGGCAGGGGTTGCAATCATTTGTTAAATCCACTAAAAGTACTGATTTCTGTGTGAATACTCACCACCAGGTGACTTTGCAGGTGACACCAGCATTCTTTGCAGAGTAAAAAAAGGAGAGAGAGAGAGCACGCTCAGTGTGTTTGGTTTTTATTTGTTTGTTTGTTTACTACAAGCTGCTGAATTTGAAATTGACAGTAAAAGTTATTTGCCTGGAAAACCTACCACAGAAGCTTGTTCTCTGTGTTGCCTGAAGACAGCAGGGAGAACATAAATTGTATAATTTATTTTTTTGCTTTTCTCTCCCATAAGACACTTTTGTAATTTATTGTTTTTTTTTAAAAAAGAATAAAAAGTAAAAAGGTTGATAGAAGTGTATGCTTAAATTATGATCTGCTCACCACCGAAGACAGATGCACACACAGCTCAAAGTGTTTTAGTCTGTTGTCAGTCTATACCGCACTGATAAAACAAAAGATTCTAGAATGCATGTGGTATCTTTGAGTAGGGTGGCCAGCTCTTTGTCAGGTGTGGCTCATGTGTATTTTAAGAGCTGCACATCTAGTAAACCGGTGTTTACTCCTCTTCCCATTGCCCTCCCTTTCATCACTCCAGTGCCTCAAGCACCCCATGCCCAAAATTGGATTGGAAAAACTTTGTATAGCCCAGCCCCTGTCTAGAGTCCTTGCGCCAGGCTTAGCGTTCATATCATGACTGCATGGAAAAGATGAGCTCCATCGACATGCTTGACGGCCTCCCCAGGGTTCCCTCACAGCTTAGGACAAATGGGCACTCACAAAACAAGTAAGGAGACTAGTAAACCAGAAGGCAGGCAATCCTAGATTCAGCCATTTTAGTCCGCTTGCTGCTTATACCCATTTCCATCATGTGACAGACTTATTAGTGACATTTGAGGATCCCTGAAATACTAATAAACTAGACTATCAGTAGTCTAGTCTTGACCTCTTCCAGTTCGGCTCTTGCTTGCCCATTTCTCACTCATGCTCTGCCTCACTTAAGCATTCTGTAGTGAGGAAAACCAAACAGTTTATTGGTGTTTCCTTTCAACCTTCACAAGAACCTCATCCAAAACAATATTAAATATTTAGCCGCAGAAATACATGAAACAGTCTCCCCTTTTTTAAAAAAAACCCTCACAGTTCATAAGGCCCCATAGCACCTGCTTAATCTATATTTGTGAGAGAAATTCACACTTGTCAGGTCTATGCAGGTAGCAGACTAAACTATTAATAAGGTGGTAGAGTTCGGAGGTAGCTGAGTGGATTCTATTCAAATGACAGGATAGGGTAGTCATATATTTTCATATTTTTCTGTGTTTAACAGGCACACATCACATACCCCAATCCACTGCAAACAAACAACAAGCAAATTTGGGCTTGAAACTCTTTCTCTAACATGCTAGGTTTGGAGGTTTTGTTTTCTGTTGAGAGAGTATTCCTAAAAGACAATCCTCACCTACAGATTGAAGTGACACAGTCCCCTCAGGTTTAAACAACTCATTCCGCTGCAGGTACAAAGGCCAAGTCTTAAAAGTGTAAAGATGGATGGTTTTCAGCAATTGGTAACCTGGTTGAGCCCGCTCATTTCCTATGGTTCTTCAGTAAGTTGCTGATAAAACGGTGAGGTTTTTGCCAGCTTACCTCCTCTCTCTTTTGTATGTCCTGGCTCACAAATATTTTAGCACATAAAGCTCCCCACCCCCATAATTTCATGGCAGAAAAATCTCCACTACTCAGCGTATGCTCCCTTGGTTCCCAATACTGAGGAAACTGTAGTATATTAATAAGGTAAAAGAAAAGAAAAGAAATAATATCTATATGTAAAGCATAGAAGCAAAACTGGTAAAAAAGGTGGCAATCCCAGAAATGAGGCCAATAAACAGACAGCAACCCCAGCCATGCTGGACGATGGCTTCTTGTGGCTACTTCCTGCTTTCAAATGGCATAGGATCCACCATTTCTATTTTAAGCCTTTCACATCCTGGTTAGCAACACTCAACACCTTCTTCATTGGGAAACTACATCCTGTAATGCGCTCATCATAGCCGCTAAATGTAAAAAGTGTGCATATGGCCCATTTGCAGGTCAGTTATACATGACCACATCAGGAAAAAAAAAAGGAAACATGGAATGATTAAATAAAGAACCTCTATAGATATGTGGTTCACTTGTCTCCAGAGATAATTGAGGGGTGGTCTCAATGTGCCCCTCCTAATGTTTATAAGAATGCCCATCATTTATCAGCATTGGCTATATTGGTTAGGACTGATGAGATTTGTCATTTAGCAATACCCAAGGAGCCACATGTTGCCTATTCCAACATGGTGAAAACAAAAGAATATTTTGTGTTATCAGGTGGGATCCAATGGAATTGTTCCTGTTTCATTCAATGGAACAGGAAATGGGGGCAATTATGCTTTGGAAGAAGTTTTAAAAACACATGTGGGGGCTTCACAGAGAAGGGAAAGATGTCCTGTCACACTAGTGAGCATCTACCAGCACTATATTGGCTCTAGGCCATATTATGTCTAATGCCATCCTTAGTTAACACTTTAAAAGAACTTCCTTTTGAGAAAATACTTCAGAGCCAAAAACATGAGGCAAAGTGGGAAAAGAAGAGGGGTCAGTATGTCTTAGCTAGTGGGCCTGATCTATAGTTAGGATTAACATAATGAGAGTGACACTAAGACAAGTGGCCATTTTAGAAGTGAGAAAAGGTGGAAGTATGAGAAAACCATATGCCGGAATACACAAAATGGTTCTTACGTAGAGATGTGAAGAATGCTTGCAAAATTTCCCACTCCATGCCAGGACTCCCCATTGAGATTTCCCCTTGGTTTAGTACAGTTTCCTGGCTTCCTGTGAAAATTCCCTTCCTTTCGTTGTGTTTTCCATTGTTCTGTCCAGAAAAAGTGTCAAATTCTGCACAGTATAAAGCCTTTTCTGGAGAATTCTGTGCAGTAAAGGTGGCATTGTGCTTGGAATTTATTCCAAAAACAATGACCACAAAACTTGTGAGATGTCCTGCAAGAGTTCTTATGGGGAAAAAAACCCTCATGCAGAGAAATCTTGCTGTGAGGAGATTGGAGTGTTTTTTTTTCCTATCAGTTCCTCTCTTAGAGTGAGAAGCTGTAAGATTCACATCACTATTCTTAAGCCTCTTAAAACATTCCCCCCTCCCAAAAAAAGGGGGGGGAACACTATCAGCCAAACACCAGCATCTTCAAATCCAGCTGATTTTAATGGGCAAGTAAGCAAGTACTTTACACCTTTCCCTTTTCAAGTTAATGAAACACTCAAAAGCAGTTGACTTTGGTTCGAAGATGTCCTAGATATGCATCTGACTATGTGTGACAGTACTATAGTGAAATACGTAAGCCTACAGGAATAGTGTGGATATGGGGGTGGGGAGGTGACTACTTGAAATTTAACTACAAGAGAATTCTAATAACAGTTTAGTTCAGGGTGTATGTGTGTTTGTATGGGGTAATTCATTTTCAAGCAGCAATATTTCCCCCTTGCTTACTTGTTTCTTTGTGTACCTGAAGGGTGAAGTCATTGTCTTGGCCCAAATGACAGGAACTCTGGTAATATAACAGAACAAAATATCCCTGACAGCATGAGAGAGAGAAAGGAGAAGGGGTGGGGGGAGAGTTTTCATCCAGTAAAATGCAAAAGTACTATAGACCCTCATGGGAGCTACAGCCCTTTAGAATGTCAGCATCCCATCAAGATTCTTTTCCCTCACCATATCGACATATTCATGTGCCCCTATATCACAATGGCCTGCATATGAACAGAGCAACACACACAGACACACATGGATAATTTGTTTTCAAAATAAACACTGGACATAAACTGTTCACAGGCTTTGTTTTCACTGCATCTATTTCTACCTTGGTTTTTAAACTATCTCTTGTGCACTGAGAACACAAGACTTATTTAAACCATGGCATTTGTGCAAATATGGCATTTGTGCAAATACCTGTTCTCCCATCCTCAAGAGCTATGCAAGCTGTATAGCACAGTAAGCTTGGAATGGTTGCTATCGCTTTATCAGCATACGGTCTGCAACACGATTTATGAAGGGCTCTGTTAAGGCTTGCAAAAAACAGAGGAAACCAAGCAGCACAGTGCCTGGCTCTTGTGGGATAAACACTGGGCATCAATGAGCTGATGACTATAATAATGACAGCAACAAAAAAAAGAGAGAGAGAGAGAGGCTCTTACCTTTAATTTTTATTTCTTAAGTGTCCCCCAGAAGCAAATGCCTGTACAAATCTGTTGAAGAGTTGCTGGAGTCTCTAAAGAGTGGGAGAAGGGGATGCAGCTATGTCCTTATTAGTCTCACACAGTGTGACCCTCCCACTCAGCAAGCACAGAGAGAATACAAGTGTAAGACAGGACAGCCCCCAGCTCCCAGGCAGCCGAGAAGGGCTTTTTCCTCTCTCTCTCTCTCTTTCTCTCCCTCTCTCTTTTCCTATCCCAAAAAAGCACCCACTAATAAGTTGCAAATCTGGTAATAATATTATAAGAGTTAGGTATGGATTGTCTACAGCTGTGTCACAGATAAGGCTGCCTGAGTCTGACTGCATGAATGAAAGAGTGTCTGGTTTCAGTGCGCTGACTCTGAAGTTCTGTACATGATACTCGTGCAGCAGCAGGGGAGTGGATCTCCCCCCCCTCACTGCACATTAAGTGTAGCTACATCTCATTAATTTTATATACTTTATCATAAATTTAAAATCAACCGACCATGGGAATGTACCTATTTATGGCACGGATGCTGCAGAGAAGAGTGGATGGGTGGCGTTCGGCTTCTCTTTTTAAAGCTCATCACGATGTAAAGCCACGGTGTTCTCGCACTGCAATATCAGCTGTCTGTGATAAAACTGTGTGACACTCAGCCCTCCTGTTAATTCTCCCTTGAATATGCTAAACTGTGCTTGCTGGCTTGGGCCCTCGGAGTGTTCTCGTGATACGTTTCTTCCAGTGTTGCCTCTTAGCATTTAACTACAGGATAAAAGGATAGCATGGAAAATAAAACAATTGCAGTAAAGACTTCAGAAAATGAGGGGGCAGGATCTTCACACCCATCATGAATATATATTTTCCTTTAAAGGCTACACTCCTTCTTCAGTATCCTGCCACCCAGTGAAACTGATCCACGGTAGACCCCATGATTGTATGCCAATAAAAAGTGCCAACAAGGTTTGGTTTGTGACATTCTGAGCCACGGGATATTATAGCCTTAGACAGCTTTAAAATGGAAGTAAAGAAATGCAGAGGGTACGAGGTCTGTCAGCTGCTCTCAGCCCTATGCAAAAGCATCACGGCTCTGAATACCACACAGGAGAGCAAATAGTCGGGGAAGGCTTTTACCTACGTGATCTAGTTGTTCTATCCCCAAGGCATCTTGTTGGTCATAGTGTGACAGAAGACCTTGTCTGAGATCAATATTGTAATTTTACTCAAAATTGATCTGCTTTTATTTTCTTCCAGTATTGGGGGAGGGGGAGAGAATGTGTCATCTCATTTGACACTTGTTTCATTCAAATGATAGCAGCAATTTAGTTTATTTGTGACATAGATGCTTATTCGTTACATTATGAATTTAATGTCATTTCTTCTTTTTAAATACAAAGGAAGATGAAGTCCTGCATGAGAACGTGGGTGTATATTTGATGGGACTCAATTGTGCTTACTTCATGACACCCATAGGGCTCCACTGTAAAGCTTTTAAGGTTTAGCCGTCACTGCACATTATTTTTTCCAAAATTCAGTTTTACTACATTGACATCCCTTCTATCTTCCAAGTAGCTCAAAGCCACATTCATTATCCTTCCACACCTCAGTTTTATCCTTTAAAAAATCCCCATGAAGTTAGACTGGAAGAAAAGTCATCCAGTAATATTCATGGCCAAGTGAGACTGTGATCCCAGGTCTTCTACTAGACCTCATTCAATATGTGAAGGAAAAGAAGCCCAGATTGAGTATGCATGGCCCACCCTGTCATCACATCCATGACAGCCATGCCTCCATGTGCTGAGGAAGAAATCTGAAGTGGAGAGCCTGCCTAATGAACATAGGCTTGTTTATGAGTGAAACATGGAGAACACAAACCTGCAAAGAATAATTGCTTCTGATGATGAAAGGTTGTTTTAAAGTAAAAAGGGGAAACTAATCCAGCTATGTCAGTCAGCTTCCATAGACATTGGCATAATATCTTGCAAGGCAAAGCCTGACAATTGCTGCAGAAGAACAAAGGTCCTGTGAACTTGTCCATAGAACTGTGCAGTTGTTCTCCCATTTTTCATGGATATTTGGGTCCAATGGGGGGGCAGGACCTGTGCTATATTTTTTTAAATTCCTATTGGCAGACAAATTAGGTACTTAGATCTGATCCTGAGCAGAGCTCACTTCTCAACCCAATTTGCTTTGGTCAGTGCCCCCTAATGTTATCATGGGGGGGGGGAGAGGTCATTTCAAAGTAGAATATTTCAGTCTTGTAACTTCTTTATGATTGTGCCCCTGAATTATTTTCAATAGATGACTTTAAGGGTTAGAGAGTGCCAAAATGATATAATAAAGTCTAGAGAGCTGATTTCAAACCCTTGCTCATCAAGGAAACTCACATTGAACAGTTTCAGGCCATCCACACTCTCGCCTTCTTCACAGTGTTGTTCGTCGTTTTATATCTAGATAATATAATATTTTAAATATACATAATATATATATGCAATGAACAAACAAATAAGCAGATTATAGCCATCTGCTTTCATCACTACAGCTGATTGTATCCACTACTTCCCAGACAAATACAAGAAAAGCTACACGTTTGACATAGAATGTCACTGTGGTTTTATATTTCCTCCCTACTGGAAACTCATAAAATCCATGGAAATTGTTCTATACAAAAAAAAGTTAAAAATGAAGAGTTGTATTTATTAGATGGTGAATTTACTACAGCCCAACCCCCAAGATCACATATTTAATATCTTTCATTAATACTGCTATATATATAGTTAGATGTATATATATATTTAATACCAGCTTTCTTCCAATGATCTTCAGGCAGCATGTACAGATTTCTTCCTCCTGATTTCATCCTCACAAGAACAACATTGTGAAGTATGGCTTAGTGTGACTTACTATTCAGCATGAATTTCACAATCATCTTGGATAATTTTTAAGGAGAAAGGCAGGGCAAAAATATTTTAAATAAATAAACTAAATACTGTAAATAAGAAAAAAAACTAACTGGAAGCTAGCTACGCATTAACACTGTAGTCTGAACAGTAGAATGAGAACCTGGGTTTTTTTTTTCAGGAGAAAGGTGACATAAAATATTTTAAATAAATAAACTAAATAAATACCGTAGATAAGAAAAAAAAACTAACTGGAAGCTAGCTATGAATGTATTTATTTAAAATATTTTGACCCCACCTTTCTCCTTAAAAAGGATCCAAGGCAGTTTAAATCATTGAAAGACAATATTTAAAGCTAAGAACAATGAGTATAAAGAGGCAGCTTACGTCATTAGAAGACAAGATTAAAGCTAAAAACCACAAGTATAGAAATATTTAAAAAAGGAACAAATACACTCTGAGAAATGGAAAACACGAGTAATACTAAAAACCTAGTGGGCGCAACAATGCATAACAATCCATCTACTGTAAAAATCACTCTAAGGTAGCCAGTCACTGAGGGAGATGGAGCCAGCCTAGTCTCCTGTGGGAGGGAGTTCCAAACTGTGGAAGCAGCAACAGAGAAGGTCCTCTCCTGTGTCTCCCACTAAGCCCACCTGAGAAGGTGGTGGGACCAAGATGGGTATACAGTATCATTGTAATAGTTCACAAAAAAATAAATAATACAATGGAAGACCTCATCTTGTTGTAAAGCAAAAGTGGTTGGAGGTTTTGATATACTATGTCATATTTTAGTGTCACTCCAATTTTGGAGGTATTTTTGACCTTCCATTATGTAACACTTAAAATCTCCACATGCAAGAAAATCTGAACATTGCTGAGTTCACATACTGTGAACTGACCTACTGGCCTACACCCACAGTAGACCAATGCCACATGGAAAACTGTTTATATGGCTATTTTGAGGAGTCCTGGAACTTGTACACAAATATACTGTGACAGTCACATACATCACATAACAACCTGGAGGTGAATATTATTGTTTGAATTCATTTTCAGACCACTTGAAATTAAACTATTTTTAGAAACCTCAACTCCTTTCAATTCTTGCTGTATTATAGCTGTAGCATAAATCACTTGGAGTAACCCTGAGGTTTGAAGGAAACAAACTTCAAAATTTTCAGGAAAATGCCTTATGTGGCTAGCCCCACAAAACTGTTGGCCAGGATTATAAATTACAGATTGTCACTAACAGGAATCCATTAGTGTGCAAGGAATGCACCCGCCTCTTGGATGCACACCTTAGCTGAGTGAGAAAGTCCGATGCTGTAAAGAAAAATACTGCATAGGAACCTGGAATGTAAGATCTATGAACCTTGGGAAGCTGGATGTGGTCAAACAGGAGATGGCAAGAATAAACATTGACATCCAGTGAACTAAAATGGACAGGAATGGGCGAATTCAATTCAGATGATTATCATATCTACTATTGTGGACAAGAATCCCGTAGAAGGAATGGAGTAGCCCTCATAGTCAACAAAAGAGTGGGAAAAGCTGTAATGGGATATAATCTCAAAAATGATAGAAT